AAAAATAATTAGAATAATAAAAATAATGATTGGGGAAAACAGAAAAGATATGGAATGTTGAAGTGGGGAGATTAATGTCTCTGTACTGACGGACATGCATGGCATTCCCTTTTGAAAAAACAATGTAATACACTGTAAAGTTATATGTAATCCAATGTAATATAAAGAAGATTATGATAATAATAAAAATTTAAAAAAAAAAAAAAAACTTCACCTTCAAAACCATGCTCTGATGGGCCACTTCCCATAGCAAATCAGTGAGCTTAGAATCCCTCAGATTTGCATATCTGGCACCTCATGATTGGTCCACAAAAGCAACCAATCATAACCCACCTTTTACAATCCTTCATTCAACCAATCACTGCCCACCAACATGTATATAACCACAATCCCTGGCCCACAGTCTCCAGACGACCCGGATGACCCTGACTGCACTCTAAGGTAGAGACTGAAAGACTGGAGGACATAAAAGCATTGAAAATTGTTATGGACACTAGAGACAAAGTGGAAGGAGAATATGGGAGGGGAAGAGTGTAGGAAAGGAAATTTTGTGAAAAAATAGAGAGGTAAGACATTTGTGAGACACAGATATGGTTTATTATCTGTTGATGAGGATGTATATAGTATTCTCAACTGGGCTGGACTGAGGTGTATATCATGCTGGGTAAAGTCTCTTTACAATCTAAATGATGTATAGCAATTGAATGTATTAATAATAATAATAATAATTTTTTAAATTCATGGAGAATGAAATTTAAGTAAAAGTTTATCTTGGTATAAAACATTTCAAAATTTATGCACAGTTTTTCCTTATCTGCATTTTTCTTGAGCTTTTTGAAGCCCCTTCATATATGCCTTTAGAAAAGATATTTAAAAATTATAGTAAAAATGTAAAGCTAAGTGTTAAAGTATGAGTGATTTGAAATATTTCTTTTTGCCTTTGTATATTTTGCACATTTTCTATAATACACAGGTACAATTTTCATAATAAAAAAATTTTAAAATATTGAATTAGATTTCAGTATAACTATAATATAAATTTAACATCAATTTACCTATAATATAGTTAAAATGTATTTATTTAAAAATAAATTTAAAATATCCAACAATGATTAACTGAAATAATATTGTTGAAAACCTTCTGAAATTGTTGGTCTGCAAATGTTTAAGAAAATACAAGATCTATTAATAGATAATGATTTTAGACTGTATCCATGCATATTTTTTAATATGCTATACTTTTTTCTTTTCTTTTTACATTTAATTACTGTACACATTTACAGCATACAAAATGAACTTTCCCAGAATGAATACACTACATATCAGTCCAGACAAAGATATTTCTTTATCATCAACAGATTATCATCAACACATTATCATCAACATTATCATCAACAGATAATTTTCCATTTTGGGGCCTGTTAATTGTTTTGCTTTTTTCCCCCTTGATTCCCTTCCACACTGATTTCTTTCGACTGTAGATTTCCATATCTATAATTATGTATCTGTTTCTTTAAAAAAATCACATGGTATAATTTTAAACTGCTATAATTGTCTTAGAATACCATACTGTTACGAGCACAGGGCAAGCTAAGAAAAATAAGTAAGTGTATGATCCATGAAGGAACAAAGGAAGAAAAATGTGCTATTTTCAACATCTTCCATGTCAAATGAAAACGTCATTTGAAAGATAAGACTTGTAGAGGTACAGACAAAAATGAGGAAAATGAGAAAATCAAGAGCCTTACACTTTCGGCTGACAGCTCCTGCTCCGATTTCAGTAGAAGGACACTTTTATCCACAGCCCGGAGGGCACAGTAGGAGTGAGGGGCTGCTTGAAGATAGAGACTAGCACTGGAGCCAGGTAGCCCCTGCTCTTGAGAGAACTTTATGCTAACCTGAAGCAGAGGAAGAAAAAGAATGAGGATAGTGGTTATTTTATATGAAGATCATTTGGATAAATGGAATCTTTTCCAAATAAATCCTTCTAGATTTCTGTACCTATATTTCTTCTGTGCATTCTTACCTTCAACTCCCTTCAAGGCCATCACATTTCCTTTATAGCCTCCCCTTCATCTCAGCCTTACCCCTGCAGCCAAAGATTAATCAGTCTATTTGGTAATGTCTTCATTCCCAGATCATTTAATTATACTAGCATGTATTGTGAGCTTGGTGTGTGATGGATGTAATAGATAAGGAAACAATGGGGAATAGATGGTTCACCCCTCTCTGGACAAATCAGAGATAGAAGGAACATCACCTTGTTTTTAAAGCACTTGTCCACCTGGAATCTGGCACTGTCAGCCACAATTTCTCCATGGGGGTGAAGGGTATAGACAAAAATGACAGCCACAGGAGCCATATCAGCAGTGATGGTGATGGGAAATGAGAACTGTCCCTTCCAACCTGTGAAAACAGGAGATGTCATCAACAGATACAGTGGCAAAGGTTTCCTGGGTAACTGGGTATGCTTAGGTCAATGGCTTATGGACAGGAAGTATACCTTGGGCTTTGTGCTAAAGGCAAATAAGTTCAATAATGTGAACTACACAGACTGGAAAGTAGTAACAATACTGGGGATCTGGATATTGCTTCTCTCTAATGTACTTGATGAACTGGGAATAATAGGAACAGGCCAAAATCTTCTTCAGAATGTTTAGTAGGCTATCTTGGGTCATGCTAACTGTTACCTTCCACCCACAAGTTGAATTAAGTGTTCTTCCTAACCTCTTGATTCTATTACCATGTATTTCCTTTAAAAAGATATGGATGCGTGGTACGCTTAAAATGAATGTATTATACGCACCTTTGTTTCCGATTTCCTTTTGTCCACTGAGGAAGATTGCTCCCTTGACCAACATCTGTGCAGAACAAAGAAAACACACTATGCGGTGCATTATCTAGCATTATATCATAGTATCATCATCAGTAGATCATGATTTAGCCTGCTGACAAGTCTATTTCACAAGATGAAGTAGCTTCCCTAAACAAAGGTTAAAGATAGACTTTGTGCAAGTTGGAAAAGAGCAGAGAAAGTGACTACAGATGATTGGGAGCCTGGTGTGGTTTGTGAGCCATGTGCAATGCAACACGCGAGGTGGTACATAAAGCTCTGAAATTGTCCAGACTGTCCCGCTTTGAATCCATCTTCACCTACTCATTAACTGTGTCACGTAAGACAGGTTGGTTCACCTGTTTGTTTCTGTTTCCTTAACTGTCAGGTGGGGCTATCCATAAAGGTAAGTGGTTAAACGACTTGATACACAGGAAGTCCTTAAACTGTGCCTGGCACAGAATGCTTACCCTGAAAGGTAAGCCTTATTATCTGCAGTGACAGATCTGGAACTGAGGAAGCCAAGGCTGAGACTGGTTAAACAATTGGCCACGATGAACTATAATTTGCACGATAAATAAGAGAGCATGGGAGATTCAAACTAGGACTGCTTTAATGTCCAAATTTGTGTCTTTTTATTCTTCATTTTATCTTAGACAAAATGAAGAAACCGAGAGGGCTAATTACTTTTAATGCTTTTCAAAACAGGTGTTCACCATCTTTCTTCTATTTGCTAATATTTTACTACCACTAGGGGTCAAAAAGACTTAATAAGAGAATAGCAAATTTTTCCAATCTAGGGAAACTTAAATCTCCTTGAGCATTTAACGTGTTTGCTCGTAGGTTTTTAATGATCCAATAGTATCCACCAGTAAAATGAGGAGGCTGAACACCTTCAGATTAGGACAACGTGACCTGAAGACTTCATAACTGTTGTGCGGAGCATAAACAATTAGGCAGAATTCCCAGAACCCACTGAGTCTTACCAAATAGAAGAACTTGATGCCTGAGTTACCCTTATAGGCTTCCCCGTTCAGGGAGTAATGGACTGTAACAACCTTCTTTTGGTCACATCTAAGTTCCTTTGGTTCAGGAACGATCTTCAGGAAGCTGTTCGTTCGGGAGTAAAAGCGTGAGACTGAGAAGTGTGCATCTGGGTAGTCAGGTGTCAGCCAATTGGGAAGATAGCAGCTCTTAGGTTGGACGTATGAGGCCTAAGTGATAAAAGAAAGCGAAGGATCTCAGGTCTGTAAGCACTTCTAAAGACAGTTACTGCCGAATGGGAAGCTTGTTTATCATACGGCGGAATCTTAGCTTGCATCTGCCATTTCAACGTTGTTATTGAAAGTGAAATAATATCACTTTCCTTTTTTGTTTAAAGAAAGACCATAGTTGTTTAATTATTTCATTAGACTGACACTGAACTATTGTTTTTCAGTTTTTTAAAAAATGCTTTTCTTTCTTTCTTCCATGAGAGAGAGAGAAAGAGAGAGAGGCACTCCTAACAAAGTCTAGATGACCTAATCCACTTTAGGTCTCATCTGGCCTAGACAATATGCACATGTGCGTACACCCCACATGCCCAGGGAGGTCCTGGGACATGAACCCAGCACCTTGGCTATGTGGGTCCAGTTGCATTACCACTGTGCTAATGTCTGGCCCTGTATAATTTTTACTTTCACATTGATGTCAGAGAATTGGACTTCGGATCTCTTTCTTTAAGCTACATTTTGTTTGACAAATTGTTTAAAATTCTGCTTGAAATTCAAACAGTAAAACTCTTTGAACGGCAGAAGAAAGAGAAATCATAGTATCTCCCCTGCCTATGCACCATACTACCTAAGGAAAAATGGCAAATCATCTTCATGAATGACACCTAGATTCTCAGAGGAAAATACTGATTGTTAGAGAATTTATTACAGCTGCACAATCCCTGTGGTATAGTGGCTACATGCTATGCATTGGTAACTGGGTCCCAAATGGCTGACCATGTTCAAATCCCAGGCCCGGTGGCTCACAAAATGAACCAGCATGTGTTCATGCATGCACCAAATCCTGATAGGTTGGAAAAGAAGGCAAAAGGACTGCAGTGTGATCAAGCCCCAGTGAAGGATTTTCACTCTGTCTTTCTCTTGCAAGTGTATGTGTCCTTTGGCAATTAAAAAAATAGAGTAAACTTATCACCGTTATAATAAACTATTAGCTTTTCATACTTTTAAACATATTTTCATATATAATTTAATGAACAGCTGTATGATATAAAATATGCTAAACCTTAAAGCTTTATTAAAATATACTCTCAAAACAAGTTGTCTTTTAAAGATTACTAATGTTCAGAATTCCTGCTTTTTTGCTGTTCAAATTCTCTGTGGAAAATCTAATGGTCTTCTTCTACTCTTAGATGTCTTACTTTCAGGTTGAATGTCGGATCAAAAATGTTCGAAGTGTCAATAGAAAATTGAGCTTCACCATTTTCATCCGTGGTGTAATTCCCTATAAGCTTGTCATTGAGCTCCAATTGCAACAACTTGTTCACCATAGGTACATTATTGGGACCGGAAAATTTAAGCTGCACCAAAAAAGAAGTATTAGTATGTTTAAAATACAAAATTTTCACATTTTTACAGAGGAATGCATTTCTATTCCTAAATGCTTACAATAAGTTATATAATATTTCCACAAATTATATAGCAAACTATATTATATCATTTTTTCCCAGTGCTTAAACTTTATTTACTTTCCTACGCTTTTTTGCAACACGGTCCTTTGTGCTTTTTAGAAATACAATAAAGTTCTCTGCATCCTAGCATGCAATCATTTAGAAGTATTTTAGGATTTGAAAACAATGCCAATAAGCTAACAAAGCAATATATATTACTCAGACACACAATTTTTAATTGTTTACCCTTTATCTATCTTGTAACTTTGCATTTACTTTCATACCAGATTCTAAGTGTTGAAGTCAGAGTTCAATCGTTTTTGTTGAATGTGTTCTTTTAAACTGGAAGATTACTCCATGAATTTCAGGTACATAAAATACAAATCTTTAATGCACAGGTTTAAAGTATACATATTATTTTTATGTCAGTTAAGCTACCAACTACATCAAGACATGGAACATTTCCCTTTCATGTGAATGCTATGCTACTTGCTACAGAGTTTCCAAGTGTTATATCCTGTACTGTCTGTTTTATAAGAGTAAAACACCTTGTTATATGCCTGGGTGCACTCAATTTCTAGGACTTAGAGTTTCCATTATCTTTAAATGCTTTTATCTTGTTCTATACAAATCAGAGCATCCTAGGTTATAGACTGGTTTCTGAACCAATATGAATCTTTTTCATAGGGATATTCAACCAGTCTGTGAGTGTAACTCATCTGTACCTCTTTCAATCTGTTTTATGCAGCCTTAATGTTTCTATTTTGCTACATTTTGTGTTTTCACCACAGTCCTCTCTAATCCAAAGGAATGGCTGTACATATTCTATTTTTGTTAAGACATACCTTGTCAAATTTATTTGTATGAACTATTAAATGATACAGCAAATGTTTTTTCTCCATGTAACATGCATAAAACAAGGTTTTGTCCATCTGCTGCCCACCTAGTGATTTAGAAGTTTTGTTTTTTACACTATCAGTGTTAACATTATGGACAATCTTGCTGCATCTTTTCCCTCTTAAACCCTGCTTATCTGAAAATGTCTTTCAGTTACTTGCACAGAGAAATAATAGCTTGTCAAGGTATACAATTCTTGGCTTTATTTTCCCTTAAGACTCTGTAGATAGTCCTCTATTGCCTTCTAGTATTTGGAGTTTCAAGAGAAAAAGCTGACATCAGCCTGACTTTTGCCCTTTACAGGTAACCTGGTTCTTTCTGTCTGGATATTTGTAAAATTTTAATTTTTTCCTGAGTTTTAAAAATGTTATCGGGATATGTCTACTTGTTGCTTTCTTTTCATCAAATTTCTAAGGTACTCTGTGAGCTTTTTCCTTTTGTAGATCTAGTTAGTTCTTCAACTCTGGGAAATTTTCTTCAGTCAGTTCTTTAATCATTGCTTTGGTTCCTTATTTTGTCCTTTCTTCCAGGTAGTCTAATTATGTGTAGATTGTATCTCTTGGTCTCTCCTTGTCTTCTTTTCTCTTATCACAGTTTAGTTTCCCTCTTTCTCTGCATTCTGTGAGAATTTCTTGTCTTGCCTTTCCTTCAGTAATTTGATTTGTGGCCAGTCTGCCTTGTGCATTTCTGTTAACTCTCTCAGTTCTCTCTGACTCATTCGAAGTGCTCTGACATTACCTTCTTTATCACTGAGCACAGGTGTTTAACTCCTGTGCCGTGTAATAGTCGATTATTTCCCACTGTCATATCTGTTTCAAGAGGAGGCAATTTAGTTCTATCCCTTTCTTCACAGCTACAGTATAACCACCTTTTCAGCAGCTCTTCTTAGGAATGTAGACCAAAAAACAAAGACTAGTATATTATGTAATTACTGTACATTAGTTTATATATTAATTTATATTACCTATATTATCATAATATACTTTTTACATAGTATAACATAGTAATACAATAAATATATATTGAATATATTATATATAATAAATAATGCATTTATTATATATAATAAAGAATGTGTTTATTATTTTTACAATAATATATTATAAATATATTTATATATAATGTAATATATTTATTGTTTATATATATAAATATATATTTATATTGGGACCAGTTGATGGTGTAGTGATTACATCTCCAGACTCCCACAAGGCTGACCGAGGTTCAAGTACCGAACTCTGGGGCTTGGAACTCACATCAGCCATGTATACGTGCATACCCAAAATTCCAAGAGGAGAATGGAGGAGAAGGGATTGTGGTGCAGCCATTCCCCTTGGGGAGTGATTTCTCACTTTCTGTCTCTTTGTCTTTCTCTGACTCTCCGGCATGCACACGTGACCTATAGCAAAAATCTCTAAAATAAAAAAATACACACAAACACGCAAATATATAAACTGTATAAACACATGTGCAAATAAATATACATAATGCATAGTATATAATTACATATCTATTATGGAAATGGCTGTAATTTTATCGATGTCTTTATTTCAACTTAAGACTTTTCTAATAATCTAAGACATACTAAAGCAACAAATATAATATAAAATTAGGAAAAAGTGTCCAGAAATTTTCAAAGGACAACCTAAGAGCTAAGAAAATGAAATGAGAATATGTATTTTATCAGTCAAACTCACAGTTCCAAAATACGAAATGCCTCTTCGATAAGAAGGGTCCATGTTCTCAAAGCTCACACTCCCAAGCACCTGGGTGATAAAGGTTGAGGTCTTCTCACTGATCTGCACTCCTGTGAGAAACAATGCCGTGTAGTGTCAGGAGGGATTTAGTTATATGATGGACAGTTTCAGAAGAACAAATAGCTTGGGGTACACGTGAGAACTTCCTGTACCCAGAATTACTGTTCTACTTCGGAAGGAAGTTGTAAGTGCTTTGAAGTATGTTGCAGTGCCTGCTACAACTATCTGGATGTAGAGTATTTCAAACTGAATAATGAAATTATTATGGAAATATGTGAAATTCCTTTCTTTTTCTGGGTCTTCCAGTTCTAACCTGTAACTCTTTTTATGATGAAGAATGTCATAGATATCTCCAATATAAGACTCTTGCTTTCTGAAATCTTCCCTAAGCCTGGAAGATAACTATTTAGATTTTTATCATATTGAAAAATGTATGATAGCAAAGTAATGAGAAATACCTTGTGATATCAAATAAGTGAGTGAAAAGCAGAGTCAAACATCTCTAGCTAAGTTACTACGAACAGGAATATAAATATCACAAACACTCGTTCATTGTGAATGCCATCACAACATTGATCTAGTGCATTTACATAAAGCACTTAATACATAATATAACTCCAATCTCTGTTTAAGTTATAAGAAATAATAATCAATGCCTTCTGGTTTATCTTTTGAATTAAATCTAACTTTCCAGTTTTTTTCTTTTTTTTAAGATATATTTTTGCTATATGGCACATGTGCTCACCAGAGAGACAGAGAGACAGAAAGCGAAATCACTCTTCAAGGGGTGATGGCTCTGCCACAATCCCTTCTCTATTCTCCTGTTGGGATTTTGGGCATGCATGCACACACGGCCAGTGTGAGTTTCAAGCCTCTGGGTCCGGGACTCCAACTGCAGTGGGCCGCGTGGGAATCCAGCAACATAACCATTACACCATCTGCTGGTCCTCTTTTTATCATTCTTTTAACAAATATTTATTGAATGCTTACTATGTGCCATCTTGCAAATCTCTCACTAATAGTTGTTGTACTTGCAAATGTCTTGGTGGTATTAAACCAAAGGTTGGCAAACTTCTGTAAAAGAGCTGATAATTAATCTAGGTTACAGATCACATGGTCTTTGTCACAGCTACTCAACTTAAGCCAGAGAGACAGATGAGTGTGGTTGTGTTCCAATAAAATATCATTTACATAAATAGAGAGGAATCTGGTTTTGATCATGAAGATGCAGCTCTCTTGGATTAAATCAGAGATTAGACCTTGAGAATTTTTTTTTTTTTTTTTGGATAGGTTTTTGCTATAGGGCACGTGTGCTTGCCAGACAGACAGAGACAGACAGAGAGACAGAAAGGGAGAAATCACCCCCCCAGGGGGGATGGCCACGCCACAATCCCTTCTCCTCCATTCTCCTCTTGAGATCTTGGGCACGCGCACACACACACGCCTGGTGTAAGTTTAAACCACCGAATCCAGGACGCGAACCATGGTCGACTGCGTGGGAGTCCAGCGAAATAGCCATTACAATAACCGCTGGTCCCAACCTTGGGAATTTTTTTATGAACTAATTTATACAAAGTTAAACAAACGGCTGATTCATTTGTTTAGCTCGGTTTCTTCGGAGGGGCACTTTTCTTCTTGATGCAGGTACAGAAGCAGATACAAACATGCAACATTTCTATAAAGGTTTGCTATTATTTTAAATATTATTAGAAAAATCTTATTCAAAATCAATCCTTAAATTGACCTATTGGGCAGGGCACTTAATTTTGCCTCTTTGAATAATAATTAATCTGTACTTTGTTGACATTGCTAACTCAGTGAGGCTCTTCTCAGTAAGCTACTCTATATCCTCAGGCTTTTGGTGAAATATGATCATTACCTGTCCCGAGTTCTGTAACAATTACAGTGATATCAAATGTCATGAAAAATCCTGAACGGTAGAGCTGGAAAATCTTTGTATTTACGATTTGAGAAATACAACCAGTTTGCAGCTGAAACAAAAGAGAGAGAAGGTACAATGAAAATGTTAGTGATCAAAAATCTTTTTTAAAATATAGAATTTTAGTTCAACCATAGAACACCCCCCACTCCATGGCTCTACATGACAAACTTGTTGAAATGATCAAAGAATTAAACAAGGAGGAGAAAGAGAAGGAAAAGGGAAAGGGGCAAATTAACATCAGCATTTCAAACAAAATAAGGAGTAATCTATATTTCACAGAATTCAAGAACATTCTACTGGAAACAATGAAGATGGAAAAGTGGAGCTAAATGATATTTTAAAAATGAGCAATTAAAATCATTTTGAGGCATTAAGATCAGAGGGTACAGAAGTACTCTTCAAACATGTGATGCCAGATAAATAATTTTAAGGTAAATCATACATTTAAAATAATTTAGAACCTCTTACTGGTAACATAAACAATTAGAGATATATACATTTGTTTTAAAATAGAAAGTGTTTATTAATTTAAATGAAAAACACATCAATTTGTTTGATCCTCAGAGCTATCATATGAGCCAGGCACTGCTATTACGCCCATTATATGGATGAATAAACTGAAGCACGGTACATTAGTTTTACCACTTGCCCAAGGTCATGTAGCTGACCTTGGTAGTAGAGCTAACTAGGCATTCTGGTTTCAGAGTGTGTTTTCCACTGAACTCTCAAATATTGCATAAACAAAAAAAAGCAATTTTACTTTATTGAACCCAGTCAATTAAAAAGAAATAGCACAAAGTGACCAGAAGAATGTCAATGCCTTTGAAATTAAGAGAAGAATATTTTTCAATAATCCTTAAGTCAATGAGAAAATACTGGGTGAGTTGAAAAGAGTCTAGATATTAGTATAAAGAAAATAATGCTTTTGCATCGAAATCTATGGTGTTAAGTTGCAATTAAATAACATGCAAAACATTGAATGTGTTCATGACTAAAAGAAATTTATATACTAATAGACAATAAAATTGACTGAAAATAAGAAAAGGAATGAACAAGATGAAAACTAAAATAAATTATTTAGAAATGCAAAAATAATATGAGAAAGAAAATAATAAAAATAAGAGCCAATAAAAACAGATATACATTTTATTGGCATGATTTAGAATAGAGTGAGCAAGGGTGTTTAAGATACTAACACAACTCAACATCCATCTGGAAGAAAACAAGATGACTTATTTTAGACTATAACCACGGGCATGATCTGTGGCCTGTGGTTGAGGGAAGCAGACCCCACATGGCCGACTGTGCGAATGTGCCTGGGAACCCAATGGGAAGGAGAGGTAGAGAGAGGACTGACTGCAGTGTGACCATTCCCCATTGGGGAGTGCTTTCTCCTTTTCCTTCTCTCTTCTTTGGCAAGCATATGCACCCTCTGACAAATTTTAAAAAGAAAGAACATAATCAAAAAATAATTTTATGCCTAATAGAGACATTTTTAGAAAATTTTTAGAACATGCTAAACCACATGTACAATAGAGGGGCAGAAGAGACTTTTTTTAACCTTGATATGTCAAAATGACTACAATCAAAAACAATGATTTGACTTATCTAAATAAGAGACGTGGAACAAAATTTTGCTTAGAAGATGGAGGGAAATTTTTATAATAAAAGAAAGTTTCAATTTCACATGGACAGGAAGAATGGAGAATTTTCAAAAGAACAAATTCAAATTCATAACAAAAATACAAGGAGGTGCTCTGAGTAACTAATAATAAAGTAACACAAGTTAAAATAAAACATATTTGTGTCTTTCAAAGTGTAATTTTCATTACAGGAATAAAACTCAGCTGAGTGAAGACTCAGCACTGGGCAAAAGTTTTTAAACTCCTAAATATGTCACAGGAAGTAGATAGGAAATATAGTATCCTTGCATGAGAGGACTTCAAAAGTTTGTAGAAAAATGCAATGGAAGTGTGAGTTCATTGTGGTGCAAGAAACTTTGAGATCTATGCATAGTTTTTTCATAACATGCATTTCTGTGAACTTCTTCAAGACCCTTTTTGTATTGCTGGGAGGAATTTGAACACTTAAAAACTTTTTAGACAACAATACGTTAATATTTTCTAAAGTTAATCTTACCTATCTATCTAGCTATCTATTACCAATTAGTCAGTCATCAATATCTCCTTTGACTCCAGAAATTTATTTGAAGGTATTGAAATGAATAAGTAAATAAATAATCTTTTGTATAAAATTAGTTTTACCAGATTGCTCATTGCTATATTTTTCATTACAGGAAAACAAAAAAATTAGCTGAGTGAACATACCTAGGAAAAAAATGGCTAACTAAATTACATGAGAGCCACACAATAATTATTAAAAGCATTCCATTGATGTTTGCAAACAAGCTGTTTCTTAAGGATAATGCTCAGTTCTGTGGTGAGTAAATCAAGGATACATTCATTCAAAGGATGATTAATGATTCTCTTAAGAAAGATCAGGGAGATCACCTGGGTGGTACAAAAAAATAAATAAATAAGGAGGCCAATGAAATCTTTCAGATTCTACAAGTGCAATTAACCTGCAGGTGGATAGCGATGACACGACCTCCAGCATCAGAGACCTGTCACACACTGTGCTTTTCCGCCATTCTTTACTTGTAGTGATTCCACTGAGTTGTTGTAATTATATTTTATATAGCTGTACCTTCTCTTCTACACAAAATAAAGACAGTGCTAAGTCCTTTCTATAAATGGAACCGAAGGAAGAATAACAATGAAAAGTGAACAGTAGCTCTTCGGAGGAAAGACCATGGTCTGTACCTGCGCAACGAACTGCTCACATATCTTGTGCTGGTCGTTCTCACAGGTCCCGGAGGAGTACAGTTCTCTGCACACCCGGATTTGGGCTTTCCCTTGCACAGGTTGGCCGAAGGTGTATCTAGTGAGAGAAGGTATACTTACAATTACAAAGAACGATACTCTAGTGATATTGTATGGTCTTCCTCAGAAATTATATATAAAATCTCTAATCTATGAGACCCTCAACACAACCTGATTCAATTAGGAGTTCACACTTATTGGTGCTATCTTCCTCATAGAATTTAGGTTAAATTAGGTATTTTTTTGTTATAATATAACTCTTTTTTCCCCCCCACAAAGTTTCTGCCTTCAGGTGTGTGCGCTCACTGGAGTAAGAGACAGAGACAGTGAGAGAGAAAGTGAGAAGTCACCCCCCAGGAGGATGTCTACGTCACAGTCCCTTCTCCTCCATTCTTCTCCCAGGATCTTGGGCAAGCACACGCACCATGTACCTGATGTGATTTTCAAGCCATAGGTCTGGGATATGAACCAGTGGGCCATGTGGGAGTCTAACAATATAATATAACGGCTACACCATCTGCTGTTCCCCTGTAAGTGCTTTTTAAAAAATCAACTTCAAGGTAAGGTAGAAGCTAAACTAATCTAAAACATCAGTATATAAGATATAATGATTAAACTGAGTTTTTTTAAATTCTATTTTAATCTGATAGAAATATTACATAATATTAGCACTTTATTTCTTTTTTTCTTTTTTTTTTTTGAGAGGGTTTTTTTTGCTATAGGGCGTGTGCGCTCGCCAGACAGACAGAGAGAGACAGAGAGACAGAAAGCAGGAAATCACCCTCCAGGGGGGATGGCCACGCCACAATCCCTTCTCCTCCACTCTCCTCTCGGGATCTTGGGCACGCACGCACACGCGCCCGGCGTGAGTTTAAGCCACCGGGTCCGGGACTTGAACCACGGTCGACTACGTGGGAGTCCAGCGACATAGCCATTACGCTAACTGCTGGTCCCAGCACTTTATTTCTTGAACAAAAACTATATAGGCATAAAAACTAATCTAAAACATCAGTATATAAGATATAATTCTTAAACTAAGTTTTGAAAAATTCTATTTTAATCTGATAGAAATATTACGTAATATTAGCACTTTCTTTCTTGAACAAAAACTATATAGGCATAAAAGTAAAACTTGGATAACCCAGGATCTTAAAATACACCCAGATCAATATTTAAACGATGCTTACTTTACCATTCAATAGATGTAGAATGTATGAAAATTGGCATACACTAACTGTGCTTTGACTAAAAGTAGGATATCTTATGGGGTGAGGTTTAATTAGTGCCTTATTTTCTCCCAAAACACAGCAAACCGTAATTTGAGTTCTTTTAAGTTTCAACTAAAGGCAAATCTAGTTGATTTGAATGTTTTTCATTACTTGAGGATTCTTTCCACTAAAAGTTAGAAAAACATAACAAATATAAAGCTACGATAAAATTAAGTTTCATTAAATTTACTGGTTTTGATACTTTTTTCCTAGTTATCACAGATTGATAAATAGCATTATCTTTTTTATGGGGGGGGATGACCTTGATTAGTTAAATGTGAAAACATAACCCAGTGCTCTACATTGTAAATGAACTAAAATTCAAACTCGGTCCTGCTTCGCTCCACAGCCTCTTCTTTCCATCCCAGTAATATGTTTCTCTCTCAGTTTAAACATTCTCAATGCTTCTGAGACTTTGACCTCACTCAAATCACTAGGGTAACCTGTCAGTTTTGATGATCTATTATGTGTAAAATAGAGGCCAGCCTCAGACTGGACCACGGAGGTTACACCTGAACATGTCTTCTTATATCTTTCTGTCATCCAGTTATAAAATATACCTTTTATCAGATTTAGTCACATCCATTAAACATGTAGCATAAATCTGCATTCAGATCAGAATATTCTCTTTGTGTGTGTGTGATTTGAAAAGCTCTTGGTGTATGTTAATGCAGTTTATCAAAATCTTTTTGCCTGGGGGTCAGCAGGTGGTGCGGAGGTTAAAGCACTGAATTTCCACCTGGCTGACCATGGTTTGAGCTCGGGACCTGGTGGCTTGAAAAAAGAATCATGCCAAGTGCCATGTGTGTGCATGCCCAAAATGGCGATAGGAGAATGGAGGAGAAGGGACTGGGATATGGTCATCCCCACTGCAGGGAGCAGGGGAGGGGGAAGGAAGGGATGATTTCTTACTTTCCCTCTCCTTGTCTCTGTCTATCTCCAGCTAGCACAGGCACCCTACGGCAAAAACCTTAAGATAAATAATAATAATAATAATAAACTATTTGCCTGCACATAAATTCTTCCCTCCTAAAAGCCTAATTCATCTGAGATTATTTGCTAAACTAACCCAATTTACTGTTGTTTTCTCTGGCAGTTCTAAGCTAAATCCTAGGGAACACTAAAACAAAACAATGCACAGACACTGTCATACAGTTTGAGGAGGGCAACCCATCGCCAGACGTTACCTTCTAGACATACTGATTTTATTTATGGTGTTCTCATAGTCTTCACGGAAATAACTCTGTGGCAAGCGTAGCTCCTGTCTACCAGGACTAATCGTGTTGCCAAATATTATTACTGCTGATACTGACTACTATTTAATGTCAAATCTGTCTAGCATACGATATTAAAGAAGTTTCAAGAAACTAGAGCCGTGGATATTATGGACACAGCATAATATTAAGGGATGACAAATTCCATTCCAAATTTTTGTCTTTTTGCATATCATTGGGCAGATAAATAATTTAAAACTGTTAATACCATTGAAAGGTCTGGCATAGGGGTAGTTTTCAAGTGAATCTAGGTTAAGTCTTGGATTTCTTCGAAGTTATCTTTTCAAATAAGATCATCGATGATCTCTCATTTAATACATGTGTTGAATTCTGGCACACATTCAATGGTTGTACTGAAACTCAAAAAATGTTATGATCATTTTTCTTTGATCTAAAGAAAAATTTAAATTCTGTCAAAAACAAAACAAAAAGCTAAAAACCAGTTTCCAAGACTTTTTAAGGCATCAGAATTATATTTTGTATACTGCAGAATATATCCAAGAGAAATTATCTTCATGTCATCAGTTAAGGAGAGTATTTAATAAATATGGAAAATATTAATATTTTAACCACTTATATAAAGTACAAGAGTTAGTGAAGCATAGCTCAAAAGTCAAACAGCTTAGGTCTAAATCCCAGTTATTTTATCAAAAAGCTCCATTAATATTGGTAAGTATTTCAATTCTCTGTATAGTATTATCTCTTTACATAATAGCTAATGTCTCATAGCATATTGGTGAAAATTTCATAGTGCTTAATTTAGTAATTGGTGCTTAATATATATTAGCTGTTTTTATTATTATTATTATTTGAAATTTGAAAAAGGAAATCACACTAAAAAAAATAGAAGGCAGTAGAAATAATTCTCTCCAAATGAAAAATTTCTCAAGTCATATATCAAGATTGGCAAAGCATATTTAGTGGCCAGTTTGGCAGCTCAAAGACTAAAAGACCATTCTGTGTTTTGTCTTGGAAACTCTGCTTCTCAATATCTTTCTTAAATAAATAATTTCAATTCAAAAGCTACTTATTATAGTTACACACAAAGACATACTACAAATGATCAATTACTCATTAATTAATTACTAGGAAAATAAACTAGAATAGTCTACATGTTATATATATGTGTATATATATATTTTTTTTTTTGAGAGGTTTTTGCTATAGGGTGCATGTGCTTGCCAGAAAGACAAAGAGACTGAAAGACAGAAAGTGAGAAATCACCAACTCCCCCAGGGGAGATGGTCATGCTGCAATCCCTTTTCCTCCTTTCATCTCTTAGGATCTTGGGGATGCATGCACACGCACCTGGCTTGAGTTTAAGCCACCGGGCCTGGGACTTGAACCATGGTCGACTACATGAGGGTCCAGCAACATAGCTATTATACCATCTGCTGGTCACCCTACATGTTATATATTAAAAGCATAGTTAAGTGAATTTGGTATAGCCATATAAAATATATTTATACAGCAAGGAATTAGAATTCATGAAAAAATTGGCAAACTATAGAGATACATTCCACAGTCTGAATTACTGTGGACAGAGAAATATAATGGCAGTCATAGAAAATATTCATGATAAATGAGAGGAAATTAAGTCATAATGTCACAGGCAATTGATATAATTACTTAGAGGTAATTTCTTACACTTTTTGTTATGTTTTCGAATATTACACAATTCATTACTTCTCTAATAACTTTAATAGAAGCATCTAAATAATTTATTTGCATGGTTAATCTTATTTCTCATTCTCTAACCCTTTTATTTACCTGTGGGGCAAACTTTAAAAATATGTGTGTGTGTGTGTGTGTGTGTGTGTGTGTGTGTACAATTATTGTTTTTATTAGCTTTTTGGAATTTCCAGTTTACATATAATCATTGTGCATCTTCATGGGGTACAATATGGTTTTTTAAAGCATGCATACACTGTATTATAACCAAATCAAATAATACAGACTTGTTCATTGTCAATATTGAACATTACGTTATACTGTGCACATTAGATCATTGTTCTATTAGTTTTTTTCCTCCTTTTATATGCTGAATTGTCTGTCATGAATAAATACTTACTTTGCGCATGCATTCACTTGGAATTCATCATCTGAGATAGTTATTGTTTGCGGCGCTCTGACTTTAACTTCAAACTTGGGCAACACTACAAGCCAAAAAGAGATAAACTTCAGCCCCCATGATTGCTAGTGAGCAAAATTATTGCAATCACCTAGTTAAGTATGTTTTCAGGCAACATTTTTCACTAGATGAGGGAGTCTTCAGAAAGTTCATGAAAAATGCGCATCATGAAAAAGCAATGCATGGATTTAAAAAATAATTGCACCAAAATAAACTTGTATTTCAATGCATTTTCCAGGTATTTCTGAAGTCCATGTGTACATGGGCACATCTATACAGATTATGTTTCAGCTGCCTCAAGTTCATAAAGCACAGGTCTACCACCATACACGATGGTGCCTGAGTTAGAATTCATTCATTCCCTCTCTTTTCTCATCTCTGTCCTCAGAACATCGCATTTTTGTTATTGCAGTCCCTTTCTAAAAGATTGTCTGGATTCTAGAAAGTGGGATAGAGAAAAGTGTCAGGGATCAGAATAAAGAAACCAGGAAAGGAGTGAGGAGTAAGATGGATTGCTGATAAAACACAAATGGCCAAGAAAGAAAGGAAATGGCAGGAAACAAATCGTCTTCACTTCCTTTAACTTAAGTCTAATTTAGAAGTTAGTTGCTCCACCTTTGACCTCTTCATTTATGTAAGACTACCACAAACAGCAACTAGTTACCATATCTATCGACAGTAAATTGGTGGGTCACTGTCCTGTCTGACTTTTTCTGCACAGCAATCGAGTAATCTCCAAACATTGGTTCTGAAATTAGTTGGAATGAGAGTTGGGTGATATTTTGAAATGAAGACACATCTTGCCATTGTAAAATCCTATTGTTTTGAGGATCCTGGAAAATAATGAAGAAATAAAAACTATCAGAAGTTGTATGAGAGAATTACATGTTCCTTCTTTATTGTGAGTACTTTCTGTAGTTACTGTAAGTAAAAAAAAATTGCTATCATTTTATTGAACATATTACTTCAAATTCTAAAACTAAGAATAAGTCATCTCTGCATATACGTTCAATATTATGTGTATTTCCTTTAAATCCAAAAAGAGTAAGGAAAAACAATTTGTCACTAATGCTTTGAATTGCTTAGTTAAGAAGTTAAAATTCCTGCACACTTGTCCAAGAGTCATGCTCCCCAAAGTAGAGTGGATTCATCTTTAGTACATGAAAGTATGCTTATACTAACACAATCTTACAAAAATTGTCACTAGCTTTTTACTTGGTCTGTATCTAAGTTGGTCATGAATTTTGAACTGCATGCAATAGCTGATAAGTGGAAGTTTTATTGTAAGAAAGACTTGATAATGACATCCTTTTTCCTTCATTTGGTTTTAGCATTTTGAAACTTACAGAAGTCTGGTTTGATGAATTTATTAATATTATCCTGCTATGGAGAAGCAAGTGTATGTACCAAGGCCAGAGACCACCTTTGGAACCTGTGCGCTCTATTTGCCCACTCTTGCTTCCAACTCCCACCCAGCCTTCTTCCCAGCTCCTGTGTGGCAGAAGTGAGTGTAGAGACTGAGGCCAGAGACACCCTTGGAACCTCCACTCTCTCCCACTCCTCACAGACTTTACAGTTTTCTGAAGCTACCCATGCTTGCTTTCTCTGTTGAAACTCTGCAGCTCAGTCTCAGGTACATCTATTCTCTAGAATCTGGGAGGCATTTGGAACACTCAGTCCCAGCAACAAAAGTGCAAGTTACAGGGCGAGTGTCAGGGAGATGAGGCTACAAAGAGATTATGGATCATCTCCTCCCACACACCTTTGAACAC